CGGCAAGCATGTCTTCTTCGGCCTCTTCGCCATCGCCGAGGAAGTGGCGCTCTTCTACGCGCACTCGATGGCAGCCACCCGACAGAAGCTCGGTGGCCTCCCGCCTAAAGGCCGGGAGCGCACAGCCCCTTCGAACGGTGGCAGAGCCAGCAGCGCAAGCAGCGCGGCGCTCAAGCGGAGTCGGAGACGGAGGAGGAGGAGGAGGTGACGGAGGAGGAGGAGGAGGAGTCGGAGGCGGAGGAGGAGGAGGCGGCTGGGCCAGCCGCGGCTTCCGCTGCACAGGCGGCGCCATCGGCTGGCTCGCGGCTCCAGCGCAGCTCGCAGCGCAAGCGGCCCGCGGAGGCATGCTCGACGGATGCAGAGGTCGCCGAGCTGGGGCTGGCGCTGGCGCGCTCGGAGAATCAGATGCCGCCGGACGAGCGCGAGCAGCGGGCGACGAGGCGGCGGCGGCGGCGGCTTGAGCGGGAGGAGGATGCGGAGCAGGCGGCGGCGGCGGAGGAGGAGGCGGAGGAGGCTGGTGGCACGGCCGAGCCAGATTCGCCGCAGCTGGCGCACCTGCCGCCAGTGCCACCGCCGCCACCGCCGCCGCAGCTCGCGCCGTGGCTAGAGGCGGGCGCGCGCTGCTCGATCTGCTTGGAGGGCAGCGACGTCGACGACGAGCGCTTGCTGACGAGGGCTCTCTTTTGCGACCCCTTTGCGGACGACGGCTGGGGCTACAGCCTGTGCTGCCACAACATCTTCCACTACACGTGCCTCCTCGCTCAGACCAAGCCGCGGCAGGCGGACTACGTCACGCGCCAAGGGCAATGCGACATCGCCACGGATTGCCCCAGCTGCCGCAGCGAGATTTATGGCACCCGGCGGCGCTTGCTCAATCGCGGCCCGCGGGGCGGCGAGCCGCCTCGGCGCAACGAGTCGCTGCGAGCGCAGAGGGCCAGAAAGGGATTCTAGGTGAGCGTGTGCTGCTCCGGGTGCCGCCTCAGCGCTGAGTTATTGTGTGTATATTGGAGAGGTGCCTGCCTGGCCGCTGAGAAGAGCCCTGCCTCCAACATGGAGCACGTGGAGCGCTTTGCTAAAACCCTCACTCTGGGGCGCCGGATGCAGGACGCCTCACCCTCAGCCGAGCCCTCACGGCGCAGCTACATATTGCTGGGCGAGCGCGTGCTGATCCCGGCCACTCTCAAGAACAGCACGACTGGCTACAAGAACGTGAACTACGATCGCGGCAATAATAAGTTCAAGGCGCAGGTGCGGATTTTACACGGAGCCGAAAATTCTTATTTCGGGCTCACCCCGAACGAAGTGCGTGGGCGCGGCGAGGTGAGCACGCCTCGCCGGGCCCGGCGGCACCTCCATTTCTGCCGCTTCAAGCCCGTCGCCCCGTCGCGAGCCATCGGCTAGCGCCTCGCGATGGACGCCTCCGTCCTCGACCAGTTCCGGCAGGCGGTGCTGCTGTCGTTTGACGTTCAGGCGCTCCACACCGCCACCGCCATGCGCCGCCGAGTGCCCCCGCCCGCCGCCACGCCGCCGCTCGCCCGGTCGGCGGGTTTTGCAACCGCCTCTCTGTCGCCTCCCGGCTGCCGTCCCGGCTCCTCGTCTCGCCTCTCTCCCACTCCCTCCCGGCTCCGCCGCTCTCGAGCGCCGTCCTCAGCGCCTCCCGCTGTGACAGGCGGACGCACAGCTGCGCAGCCAGGCGAACGCGTCGCTCGAGGCGCTCAAGGGGTCGGAGGAGGTGTGGTCCTTCTGCCTCGCCGCCTTCACCGCCTCTGGCGAGGACCGAGTCCAGTTTTGGTGCGATCGCCTCCCTCGTTCTGTCAGCGCCTCCCTCCCTGCCTCGGCTGCCCTGGCTGCCGTCTCCCTCCCTCCCCGCCGCCCCGTCCTCCCTCCCCGCCGCTCCCTCCCCGCTCCTTCCCTCCCTCCCCGCCGCTCCGCCCCGACTGCCTCGCCGCTGCCTCCTCCCCTCGCTCCTCGCACAGCCCTTCGCTGCTGCCTCCTCCCGCACCGCACCGCCTCTCCTCCCCTCCAACGCCTCTGCTCTCCACCCACTCCCACCTCTCTCCCACTACGGCGCGGCACTT